TGTATCATTAACAAGCCCCAATTGGCCTGAAACACATCTTCAGCCTCTGAAAAGCTAGCCTAACTCTCAAGTTGATTTTATCTAGAGTATTTTATATTGGTTGGGAAGACGGCTCAGTGGGTAGAGACCTAAGTTTGAATTATCAGAACTCATGTAAAAGCCAAACATAGAAGAACACAACAAAAGTGTGTGTGTGTATTGTCAATGTCAACTTCCTACTTTGACACTATTCTATAGTTTTGTGGAATAGGACCAAATGAAGGGTACACTGGCAATTTCAGTATTTTTTAAAACAGTCTAAGTCAAATTATTTCAAATGAATTGTTCCAAAGACTTTTAAAATTTAAAAATACAGTTATAGCTCTTAATAAGAAGCTACCCAGCCAGGTGGTGGTGGCACTCGGGAGGAAGAAGTAGGTAGGTCTCTGTGAGTTCGAGGGCAGCCTGGTCTACAAGAGCTAGTGCCAGGACAAGCTTCCAAAGCTGCAGAGAAAACCTGTCTTGAAAAAAAAAAAAAAAGAAGAAGATACCCACATGACCAATAATGGTTGAATGGATAAATAAAATTCAATCAATATAACTGTTATTTGATTACTTGATAATATAAAGAAGTTACCTGGTAATATAAAGAAGTAAATGCCAATAGAACATGGATGAATCTTGAAAATATGTTAAATGAAAGAAACCCAAAACAAAGTCATATATGTATATATATATATATATATATATATATATATATATATATTGACAATATGCCTATGGTTATACTACCTTACATAAAAGGATCATAAATCAGGATGGGTGAGGCCCTGGATTCCATCTCTAGCACCAAAACATTAAAGCCATGGGGGGGGGGTTGTTTTTTGTATTGCTGTTTTTGGTTTTAGTTTTGTTTTTTGAGACAGGGTTTCTGTGTGTAACAACCCTAGCTGTCCTGGGACTAGTTCTGTAGACCAGGCTGGCCTGGCACTCAGAAAATTGCCTGTCTCTGACTCCTGAGTGCTGAAATTAAAGGCATGTGCCGCCACCACCACCGCCACCACGGAGCTTACAACCATGTTTTTTTAGACCATCATCTCCCTGCCACCCTGGATGATCACATACTCCAGTGTTTACAAAATCTTCCTGTCTCAGCCTCCACAAAGCAGCTGGGCCTATAAAAGTGTACCACCACACCCAGATCTCTAAAAGATAATGTTTATTCTTTAAGTACTATGTCTCAATAAGTACTGTGGCTGGGCACAGTCATTAGCAGAGAATGTGCCTACCATTCACGAGGCTCTGCAGCTTGATCCCTGCACTCCCTACAAAAGTATCAACAAATGGAAGAGACCTTAAAAATAATTTATCTACAAGACAGATGTCTTGATGCAGGCTTGTGTGTCCAGCACTATAGAGGTGGAGGCAGGAGTACTAATGCTAACTATATAGTAAGTTTAAGGTCAGCCAAATTGCCTAAGACCATCTAAAAAATTTGTTTTAATTACCTACATATACAAATGCCCTAGGGCAAAAATCCGTATGTTATGAATACAGTTTACACAGATTGAAGTATGATGGTGCCTATTTGTATTCTCAACAATATCCAGGCTGAGGCAGGAGGATTGAGTCACAGAGATCTTGTCCCACCCCAAAAAATGGGGGGAAGGGACTAGATCAACTTCATGACTGAATGACAATACAGTAAATCCCTGCTACCTATACTTTCAAAGCAATAAAATTAATAACCAAAGTACACTCATTGAAACAATGTACAAAAGAATAAAGTTTGACTCAACTAGGCAGAAAACATTCCTGACAACTACAAATTCTGAAATACTAAAAAAGTAACCTCTTACCACAGCAAAGTTTCCCACACCTCATGTCCTACAATATGGAGTTCAGTTGAAATAAGAGGACCTCCATTCTGAGACTGATCTGTACTATATAAACATGGAGGAGGGGTGTGGACACATGCTCAATTCATAAAAGCCTAATGAAAAGTCTGATGAGCAGCCTTTACTATCCTAGCACTCTGGAAGAGGAGGTAGGTATTCTCCGCAAGCTGGTCTACAGGGCCCGTTCCAGGACAGCCACGAAAGTTACACGGAGAAGCCCTGTCGAAAGAAAAGGAGGAAGAGAGGGAGGGAAGGAGGAAGGAAGAAAGAAAGATGTCCATTTGCATATCACAAGGAAGAAATGACAAAAGTAGATCACACTTCATGAGGCCAGGCCCACACTGTCACATTGCTCAAGTCTGCCAGTCTCTACCACAGTTTAAAATAGTCTCTTACAGACTTAAAATGCATAAACACTAGCCACAGGACACTCGAGTTGATCCAAACAAGGCTGTATGGTTTTAACCTGTTAGAGACGTCTGTGAAATGAAGTCCCCTCTCCCCAGTGTCACTCCTTGAACCTAGAACGCAGCTGCCTATTTATCATACCACTACCACAGACCAGCTCTGTCCTCACTCTCACCCCATCCCCACACATGGCCAAAACTATTCAGGCAGGAATGATACCATCTTACACAGACATAAGCCTCCAATGACCTACACAGCCCCATGTGTGTCTCGCTGGCCTCTTAGCCACCTCACGTGGAAATGCATGCGAACAGCAAGCAATGACTGTTGAGAGCACAAATGTCATAGTATCACTATCTGAAATCACTTTCTTGATGTCTCTCTTTAAACCTCCTTAAAGTGTCATGGAATATTACTATGTACAAAGCTCTCATATCATCTTCTAAGGCATACAAATACATAACAAACATATGAATAATTATATCCAGAAATTGTTTTAAATAATAATATCTTGATTCAAAAAAAATACTAAGTGAGGGGCTGGGGAGATGGCTCAGTGGTTAAGAGGTCCTAAGTTCAATTCCCAGCAACCACATGGTGGTTCCCGACCATCTGTAGTGAGATCTGGATCTGGTGCCCTCTTCTGGCCTGCCAGCACCAGAACACTGTATACATAATAAATAAATAAATAAATAAATAAATAAAATCTTAAAAAAAAATACCAAGTGAAAAGTGACACCTCCACACAATCGCTGATTTGATCTGGTTCTTACTGATAACCGCCTACTTCATCAAGCCAGTTCTTCCCATCATTAACTGTGTTTTCCTTTAAACACAACACACAATGGAAGAGACTGCAAAGTGACATAAGATTAGATAATTTATACGGCTATTCCTAATTATTAACATACCACAAATCCAAATATAATAGAGCAAAGACCCTTGACCATTATGAAAGACCCTGAAACAGAAAAATAATGAAATACATGCTTATTCAATTAAAAAATGATTTTTCTCTGTGCACATGTAATATACACAGATAAACATATGTTTATATACAGAAAAAAGAGCTATCCTAAAAGGCAGGTCCCTGCTTTCTCAACTGTTTCTTTTTTCTTTCCTTTTTAGTTTTGTGAGACAGTTTCTCTGTGTAACTTTCACGGCCATCCTGGAACTCACTCTGTAGACCCGGTTGGCCTTGAACTCAGAGATCCACCTGCCTCTGCCTCGAGTGTGTAGAATTAAGGCCTGCGCCACCACAGTCCAGCAATAGCACTGGCCTTTAGAAAGAATCTTAAAACTATCAGACATTGGGTTTCAATATTTTAAATACCCCATATGTGGGCCAGGGATATGGTTCACAGGTTAAGCTACTTATCAGCCGTAGTTTGATCACTGGGTCTCCACATAGTAGATAATCAACTCTTGAAAGATGTTACTTGACTTCCATAGGTGTCACACCCAAATCCAAATACTCGCAGAATAATAAAAACTGTTTTTTCATTTTCAATTTTTACTTTCCGGTTTTCAAGACTTTTTGCCTCCTAATAAAAGATTTTTATGTAGCTGTCCACATCTTACGAAGACCTACAAATACAGTCATGTTATATTCAATTTTGAAAGAGGACAATCTTGTAAAATTACCTCCACACTAACAATGATTGCCAATTTTCCTAGATGCCACCAAATGGGAGGGAAATCCTCTAGGCTGCTACTAGGGCCAATATGAGTAACAACCACCACCACCTAGGAGGGCTGAGGGGCATCCCACCCCTTGCAAAATAGATAAACAGTATTTCGGGATTTTATTAAATAAAGGCAATTCCGTTGTTCTCCAAAGTATCAAAGACAGCACACAAACTTCTTGCACAAAAGGAAGAACGAGGCAACCAGTGTGAGCAAAGATGTTTAACGCTGGTCCAGCAAACCCAAAGAGAGAGGAAACAGGAAGACTCGGCGGCGCTCTGAAGCCTCGGAGCGCCTACTTCTCCGCGAAAGGCTTTTCCAGCAGCTGCCGCCCAAACCGGGCTGCACGTCCAGGATGGAGGTGGCTGGATTGGCACATTTGAAATATCAGCAGCCGACGGATCCAGTCCCGAGCACCACGCGGGAGGGACCTGCCCCCGCACACGCTCTCCCCCGCTGCGGCGAGCGACCTGGGCGCAGCCGCAGCACCCAAGTAACGCTCGACCCGAGCAGAAAGTTTCGAATGAAAAACCCGAGAGCCGAAACGCACAGGTCTCGGAGCTGAAGTCGTGCCAGGAACACACCCGAGGCCAAACCACTTGACAAGCAGCTCGGGCTTTCAGCTGGATGGCTGCGGCGGGACCGGGAGGTGGCAGAGGCGGCAGCGCACTGGCTCCTTCAGTCCAGGTGTCAGCGCGCCGCCGCCTCCCTCTCCTGCTCCCCAGCCGACCGATGCAGGGCAGGGACCGAGATGCGGAACGCGGGTGTGGCTCAGGGGCGCGAGGCGCGGGATCGAGCGCGGAGCCCGGGTTGCTCGCAGGCCGCTGGGCCAGGTCGCAGCTCCGGAACCCGCGGCCGCGCGCCCCTCCCCCACCCCTCCCCCTCCAGGGCACGCAGAGCCGGCGCCGCGTCCCGGGAGACCCGCGGCCCGGGGACCGGGAAGCTCTGCCTGCGCGGCCGCAAGCAACCCTCGGCGGGGCGGGGCGGGGCGGTGTCGGGCCCGGGCGCCGCGCGGACTCACTTTTTTGGATGTTTCTCTCTTTTCGGCCTCCGCTTTCGGGCCTGAATGGCCAGCACTGAGGAGAGAGAAGACACATTAACGGTCGGGTCGGCCGCCTGCGGGCCGCGAGGCGGGGCAGGGGCCGCGCGCGCCGCTCACCTTTCCTGGAGCTCATTCCGACTCCGGGCGGCCGGGCGGAGGCGGGGGGCTCCGCGGCGGAGGCTGCGGCGACGCGACAACCAGCCGCACAGGGATGCAGCCTCCACTCGCTCGCCGGCAGAGGAGGCGGGAACCGCGCCTGCGCCGCCGCGGCCGCTCCCGCGGGGACCAATGGGACCCGCCCCCGCGGCCCCGCCCCGCGGCCCCGCCCCCTCCGCACCTCCCGCGTGGAGGGGTCGGGACCCCGGCCGCGCCCTTCGCAGAGGCGGCTCCGCAACCCCCCTGTGTGGAAAGGCGGCCGCGTACCCACGTCCTCCCGCGCTCGGCCTCCCGCAGCCCGCCTCCGCCTCCTCGGTTCTGCGGCCGCCGCGGGTCCAGTCGCACGACCCTCCTTCCCAGCCACGCCTCGCTCCGCACCCGGGCCGGTGGTGCTGCACGCCTCTCCGTGCGCCCTTCAGTGGCCTGCGCCTTCGCGGGTCCCGCACCACCTCTGTTCCCGCGGCCTCTTCTCTCCGTTTGCATCCCCATGAGCACAGCTTCCTCCCCTTTTGGCGAGCGTGGAAAGGGCACGAGACCAAAAGCTGGAGAACCTGGGTCCTTGAGTGTGTGACCTTGGAGAAGTGATTTCCCTGTTCCCACAGGACTTTGTGAGGTTAATGAAGGAAACGCTGCACATAGTTTGAAAGGAAAGTTTGGCGCATGAAGCCCACTTTTCTTAACCATGAGACGAGAGCTTAAAACAGGGATTATGTCAAGCAGTCCTTTTTTCCCTTCCTCCTACAATGGGGAAATTGAACCCTAAATAGGTCAAACAGTTCTACCAGTCCTTATCCCTATTCAGGCCTGGCTGGTTTCTTTTTCTTTCCATCTTCCCAGGCTACCTAAGATGTGAATCAAGCTGACTGGCACATCGTTATCACCTCAGTTTTCTCTTGTCCAAAGTGTTTTTGAAAGATACTGGTCCTGAGCATTCAGTCCTTCCTTGGTTACAATTGTATCATTGAGTCTTACTCTAAAGATGTCCCAGCAAACAGGAAAAGGCCGCTTTGAGTTTGAAGAGACTTTACTTCCATTTTTTATTTAAAAAAAAAAATATGAAACATACGAAAAAAAATGCAGTGATCGGCACTATTAGCCCATATTCATTAGTTTTTAAAAAATAAAATAAAATAAAACATTTCTCCCTGTTTTCTCTCTCCGTGTGTGCAAGGTTTATTTTGCACAGTCATTCAGTAGTTTGTAGACTCTATTACACCCGATCCCTAAACATTTCATTGGCTATCTATTAGGAACAAAGATATTTTCCTATATAAAGACTGTCATCACTGCGAGAAAATCCAGTACTATCCATGTGTAATTTACAAGCCATTGTTCCCGTTTCTGAAATATTCCAATAAAATCTATTTGGTGACATCTTTTTCTAATCCAATGTCATCAGTTGTTGTTAGCGCCCATCTTTTTTTTTTTTTAAAACTAATCTTTGGGGCCCTACCCAGGGTCATTTCCCAGATGCCAGATAAAGTAAAATCTCTACTTGAGACATTTTTTAAGACTGGGTTTCCCAGCGTCTCAAAGGCTGACCTTGAGTTTGTCTAGCCGCACATAAAGGCCTTGGCTTCTCAAGTACAAGGAAGACAGGCATGAACCATAAACAGTGGCCATTGTAAAGACTCTAGTTCTGTTTGCAGAATGGTCCTCAGTTTGGATTTTGTTTTCCTACTATTACCGTCAAGTTCAATCATTTGTCAAGTACACTGTACACATAGATGGTGTGTGTCTGTCTCAGTACATAAGGCTAAGATATCAGTTTACTCCATTATGGGTGATACAGTCTATCATTTCTCCAGAAAAGAGATAACTTTCCATTTTGTATTAAAAAATAATCTATATTAATATATATATATATATTAGCTGAGCAGTGGTGGCGCACAACTTTAATCCCAGCACTCAGGAGGCACAGGCAGGCGGATCTCTATGAGTTCAAGACCAGCCTGGTCTACAGAGCAAGTTCCAGGGCAGGCTCTAAAGCTACACAGAGAACCCTGTCTCGAAAAACAAAAGCAAAAAAGTCTATATTGTAAAGTGTCAGTGGAAAGGACTTGCATAGACATTCCTTCAAAGATATGGAGCCAACAAGTGCATAACAAGATATGCAAAACCATTCATCATTATAGACGTGTAAAGCGAGACAAAATGAGATCCCACTTCACACCTCGCACAACCACATTATTTAAAATAGAAAATACAGCCGGGCGATGGTGGCGCACGCCTTTAATCCCAGCACTCAGGAGGCAGAGGCAGGCGGATCTCTGTGAGTTCGAGACCAGCCTGGTCTACAGAGCTAGTTCCAGGACAGGCTCCAAAGCCACAGTGAAACCCTGTCTCGAAAAACAAAAAACAAAAAAATAAAAAATAAAAAAATAAAATAAAATAAAATAGAAAATACAAAGTCAAGCATGGTGGTACACACCTTTGATCGAAGGACTAAGGAGACTAAGTAGGGGTGCTGTCTTACCAGCCTAGTCTACCCAGAACATAACAGATCAGCCTCAGCCATATGACATCATCCTCAGAAAAACAGAAAGGTGGGGGTGGGGGGCTAGGATGTTTATTGTGTTTATTACGGGGCCCTATCCAAGTTCACTTCCCAGATACCAGAAACAGAAAAGAAAAAAAAATACATATAAATGAGCATTCTGGATCTCTTGCATTTTGGAAACACTAAAATCTTTGTCAGCTGCTAGTGGAACTACAAAATGGTGTACTCACTATAGAAAACTTTGTCAGGTTCTCAAAAACTAATCATAGAATTGCCAACAATCCCATCCACAGGTGCGTTTCCACAAAAGTTAAAAAAACAGATGATCTTTGACACAGGCCTATGAAGCCAGCACTCAGGGGGCAAAGGTAAACAAACGAGTTCAAGGCCTGCCTCAGTTCTAAACTAACCAGGGCTATTTGACAATTTCCTGAATTAAAAAAAAAAATCAATCAATCTTTGGACATGAAAGTTATATCTACAGTATAACAATGACCAAAACATGCAAAGTGCTGGGTGTGGTGGCAAATGCCTGTAATACAAGCACTCGGTAGGAAGAGGCAAGATAACGGTCGCAAGTTCCAAACAAGCCAGAACTGCTGTATTGCTGTGAAGAGACCCATGACCAGTGCAACTCTTACAAAGGAAAGCATTTAGCTGGGCACTTGCAGTTTCAGAGGTTTACTCTATTACTGTCATCACAGAGAGCATGGCAACACACATGTAACAGGAGCAAGGCAGAGAGAAAGAGAGACTAGGTCTGGCACATGACATGGGCACTTCATGTCATGTGCCTCAAAAGCCCACCCCAGTGACACCCTTCCTCTAACAAACACATCCTTCTAAACCTTCCAAAGAGCTCTACCTTCCATTGGTTAAGCATTCCAGTACATGATCCTATAGGGGCCATTCTCTCTCTCTTTTGTTTTTTTCTTTCGAGACAGGATTTCTCTGTGCAACAGTCCTGGCTGTCATTGAACTCACTCTGTAGACCAGGCTGGCCTTGAACTCAAAGATCCACCTGCCTCTGCCTTGAGAGTTGGGATTAAAGGCATATACCACCACTACCCCAGGCATAATGGGGACCATCTTATTCAAACCATCACAATCCACTCCCTGGCGCCCTTGGACTTGTAGCCATATCATGCAAAAATATATTCAGTTCTTCAAAAGTCCCCATAGTCTAGCATGGTCACAACACTGTTGACATATCCAAAGTTTTCTGAGATTCATGAGAATCTCGTAACCCCCTGCAAAAATCAGAATGAAAAAGCAAATCACTTACTTCCAACATGCAATGAGCAGGATGTACGTTACCATTCTAAAGGCAAGAAAAAGGAACATAATGAGGAAAAACTGAACCAAAGCAAGGCTGAAAACTAACGGGGCAAACTCCAAACTCTGCATCTCCATGTCTGATGCCAAAACACTGTAGATATCTCCAGTTTTGTTGACTGTAACACACTTCCCTCTCTTGGGCTGGCCCACCTCTGGTCTACATCTCTCCTTACCACTCTTGCATCTCCAAAACCGTTGGGTCTCCAACAAAATCTAGGCTTCACCTTTGCAGTTTACACAGTGGCCTTTCTGGGCCTCCAGGCAGAGACATATGCCTGTCCTCAAGAGCTTTTCTTAGCCTCAAAGGGAGATTACACAAACCCTTTTTCTTTTTCGTATGCTTGACTCTAAAAGAGGAACCATGTGACCAAAGCTGCTAGATTATCTCTTAGCTGGAACTGGAACTTGGCCCCCTTATTCGAGTACATTCGCATCAGCTGCTGGTGGTTCTCCTTCCCTGCTTAAGCTTTCCTTTTATCCCTTTTCACAGGTTGGAGTTTAGCTGGGTGAGGTCCTGCCCTGAGATCACCACTCCCTTTATTCCACTTAGCACCAGCTTTTCTTCAAACGCCTTATCTTCTTGAGTACAGGATTTGTCTACAACATCATCTTCACTGGTCTTCTTTTTCTCATCAAACTGTATATCTTCTATTTCTCTTTGCCCAGCTTATCTTTTCATGGTAGACCTGTGATGTGGGAGTGATTTCTTATTAATAAAGAAACTGCCTAGACCCATTTGATAGGCCAACCCTTAGGTAGGCGGAGTAAACAGAACGGAATGCTGGGAGAAAGAAGCTGAGTCAGGGAGTCGCCATGATTCTCCCACTCCAGACAGACGCAGGTTAAGATCATTCCTGGTAAGCCAGCTCGTGGGCTACACAGATTAATAGAAATGGGTTAGATCAATATGTAAAAGCTAGCCAATAAGAAACTGAAACTAATGGGTCAGGCAGTGTTTAAAAGAATACAGTTTCCGTGTAATTATTTCGGGTAAAGCTAGCCGGGTGGCGGGACACAGCCCGCCGCTCCGTATTTCAACAGAGTGGCACCCAACGTGCTAATGAACTCCACGTAAAACCTGAGAGGGCTTAAAAAGGAGAGAGAGAGAATTTAAGACAGCTTTTTGCTGTTTGTGGGTTGCGTCCGCAAAGAAATTGTCCTGACTCAGCAGCAGGAAAAAACTGGCTGTTTTAAAATGCCGGCTTTCTGGGCTGTGCCGCCATTGCGATCTCTGTCTGGCTCCTGTGGGAGA